GAGGGAGGGAGGGAGGGAGAGAGGGAGAGAGATTGTTGCAGCTTCTTTTGAACAAAACAGAGTTCTCTGTTATAACTGCTAAATAGCAATAGCATCAAATGGTAAACTATCTAATCTGATAGGATAAGAATTCAAAAAAATAAAAGTATGAGACCAAGGTATCCATTGGATTGTTGCTCACGTTTGTCTTTTCCCCAGTTTAGGTGACAAGATTCCTTTGTCCTGACCCTGAATAGCCCAGGGGTCTCTGTTTAGCCAGCACCAGAACTCACTTTAACCCAGTTAACCCAGTGGCAGCTGAGTACTCTTTTAACTCTTGTCTTTCAACCAGCCGGGATACTTCTCTTTTCTCTGATCCTTTTCATGGCAGGAAAAAAAAAAAAAAAAAAGGAATGACTTCTAAATCTCTGTGCTAACTAGTAAATGCCCCAAGCGTGTTTTTCCCCAACCAGAAGTGACTACATTTTCCAACCTCTGAAATTCCCAGCCAGCTAAGAAATAATCCCCAAAGTTTGAGTAATGCTTGCTTACAATGAAAGTGGGGTATTGAAAACAGCTCTGCTTGAGGTCAGTTTTTACAAACTGCTCACCCTTGGAAAGTTCTGTTATGATCCATCCCATAGCAAGGCAGGCTCATTTATGGAAACAACCAAAAACCATGTTGTACACAAGCTGTTTTGTGTTGAATTCATCCCAAATGCCAAGCCAGGATTCCAGATACCTCCTAAAGTAAGAAAGCTACAATGGGAAAATTTCAACAGCATTTATTTTTATTTATAATTCATACCCTGCCAGCTTCTAAAAAGATTGGAGGCAACTTCCAATAAAGGCAAGTTTTCTAAAATGAGAAAAGAAAATGGAAAACTCATGAAGGAGGAGGAAGCAGGGAAGGTGGTGAAAGCAACATGACTCAAGGTCAAGTTCAGTTCTGAGCTATTAGCTAAAGCAAAGATGGAAATGCTCAGAGTTTTCATTATCTGAGTACAGAAAATATAGTCGCAAAGCAAGGTTGGCTCTGTAGGGACTATCAGTAGGCCTTGCACTGTCTTCATTTGGTGACCCCTACACAGGCCTCTGAGGGAGATGGCAGGGGCCCTGTTCTCTCTGCCCGTGGCTAGGGCAGCAGACACAGGGGCCAGCAGGCAGGAAAGTCCCTGGATGTTGGTGGACACCAGACTGCACGAGACTAGGTCAGCCCCTCACTGAAGAGAGCCCTGATTCACTGCTCCCTTCCCTTAGTAGTGAAGGATCCCCAGAATCACAGGGCCCTTCATTTCCTGCTCAGTGGGCCTCAAGCTCACCACCAGGCTGGGCCTCTTCCCTGGGCCATCTTCTCTAGGTCACTCTCCTGGGTCTGAGGAGCCAGGGCAGCTGGGGTGGTGGGGAGGACTGGACAGTTGGCTGGGTACTAACACATGTACAGTGCAGGATGGGAGAAAGGGCCAGGCCTTGGGTTGGGCCAGCTCTGCCTCTGCTCTGTCCTGTGAGCCTCTGTGGAGCCTGGCCTTCCAGGCTATGGAGCTACATTTTTCAAAGGTAGCTAAGCATATTTTACTTACCAACTTGTGAGTGATTTGTAATCATTCCATAGAACTTTTAGATGCCTGGACCTCCATGTGTATTCTTGCCTCAGGCCTGGAAAAGGCATGAATTTGGGGATAAAACTACTTCTCATGTAGTCTGCCTTGGCAAATGGGGCATGGCTGGGCAGGTGGTGTAGATCAGATGTGGATTGTACTCTGGGTTGTGAGTTATTAGATATGTGACTTTGGGCCAGTTATTTTACCTGGTTTGAACCTCAGCCTTGTGACCTTGGGAGAAGTCCCTTGACTTCTCCAGGTCTCAGTTTTCTGCTCTGCACAATGAGGATAATAGTACGTATCTACCTTCTGGTGCTGTGGGAGGATGAAATGAGTCAATACCTGTAAAGCTCTCAAATAGTTCCTGCATGCAGTAAGTGCTACATGAGTGCCATTATTATTATTAAGAGCGGACCCTATCCCCCCATCCCCTGTGGGTCTTACCTAATTGCTTCCCAGCGGGACTTCAGACTACAGGTTCAGGCCCTGTGCTGCCTCTCCCTGTGCTCAGTGGCCCAAAGTCCCTCAAGGGGCCTTGAGGTCCTGCTGCCTGTGGGTCCCGATCCCCTTCCCTGGATGTAGGCTGACCTCCCTGCCTCCCGTGCTTTTACAGGAAGCCTGTGGCCCAGATCTGACCATCTGACTGAAGGGTTCCATCTGAGGTCACCCATGGCCACCCTGCAAGTCAGGCCAACATCTCCCCTTAGGGAGATAACACAGGCCTGTCGCAGCTCTATCTTTCTGCATGTTTCTTTCTCTTCTACCTTCCTGTCCAGTTGTACTGTCCCCAGCTTGAGGACTGAGACTTGCAGACCACCTATGTGCTCACTCACATGGACCCCAGCACCGGTCTGTAGGGTCTTATGTTGTTGGATCCCTTTGCCCAGCCCAGTCACAGTGAGGTTCGTCAGAGCAGTAATGTCCTCCAACTGGCTCCTGCAGCCCTGGTGCCTAGATGAAAGTGAAGATCCTACCCACCGCCCTGAGAACGAGTGTGGAGTGCCCAGGCTGGGGGATGGCTTGATGTAATTTCAGCCCAGTGAACACAATCACTTGGAAAAGTCCAACTGTAGTGGCTCCCGAGAGCCAGAGAAGGTTGATGTGATAGCAGGTGGGCTGTCAGTGAGATGCATCCCTGGGACAGACACTGGTGGTAGCAGGCGCTATGGTCAGAGGTAGGAACATGCTAGGGCAGTGGCTGTCAGACTGTAGTCCCTCTGCCAGTTGCAGCATCAGCCCAAGGCACTGGGCAACCTCACGGGCCACCCAGGGACCCCAGAGCTCAAGAGTCTGAAGAGCAGACTCTGTTAAGAGCAAGTCAATTATTGCCTCATAAGAACAGTGGGAGGACAGGTGGCTGATACATCATAAGTATAACAGCATCCCCAGGGAACTTGTGGAAATATAAAATCTGTCTCCACCCAGATGGGCTGAATCAGGAGCCCTGCATGTGGGGCCAGGAGTCCATGAATCCCTGGATGATTCAGATTTGGTCCAAGGTTTGAGAGTCTAGGGAGAGCAGTGATGATACATAAGCCACCATGTTGGCCCTGTTCACCCCAGCCTGGAGGCATCGCAGCATTCTCCTGTGCTCCCTAGTATCCATGGCCCCACAGAACTCAGATGTGCACATGGCTGACGTAGGGACGTCCCTGATGATGCCCAACTCACCAGCAGCTGTGGCCTCTGAAGCCAAGGCCTGCTCAGTGACAAATGAAGTATGGGCATATTCTAGAGGCCCAAGCACAGGAAGCTGGTCCCAGCTCCAGCTGGAAGCTGCTCTAAGGGGTAAGAGGAAGGCATGTGCTATGGGAGACTATGTGGCTTTCAGTCAGTGCTTCCTGACTAATGTCAGCTCCAATATGCCAGCACTACAGGCAGGAGGGCCTGTCACACACTGCCTACTGCGTTAAGCATCACACATTTTATCTCATTCAACGCTCTTACCAGCATGGGGACACGGGAGTTCCTGTTCCCATTTTAGAGCTGAAGGCAATGGGCCTTTATTGCATCATTTCCCTGACATCACCCTGGCTGTCAGCGATGTGCCTTTGGGTGGAGAGGGTCCTGGCTGGGGGCTGAGGGTTGGAGCTATAGGCGAGCTGGAGTCTGGGGTGGAGAGGGGGCCTCCAGGGCAGACTGCCTGCTTACACAGGTGCCAAGTGCTGTGAAGAGCTGTTCAGATGGTGATAATGGGTTTGTTACGAAGCAGTTTTAGCTGCAGAGAAATGTTTATTGGTGAATCAGAGCATTGAACAGACTATTACAACGGGCATGAAAATGAATGAGGCTTGGAAATGCCTGCTCCAGATCCAGGAAGATATCAGGGATGTTTTCCAGAGTAGCACTTGGAGGTGAAGCTTCCCAAAGACCCCACTGAGCTCCTGGAAATGTCTCTGCCTCCCTCTGGCCTGCGTGCCACTGACCTGCGTGGCTGGATATCGCCACTGAATGGTGTCGTTGGGCACCCAGCTCCAAGCCTTGAGGTTGCACTGCTCGGGCCACTGAGCGCTTACTGAGCTGGTAATTTAGAAGTTTGGAGCCATGGGACACAAAGCCTCAGTCAGAGAGACCTACGGTCTAGCAGACTCTCAGCCTGCTGTTTTGAGAAAGTTGTTTTTAATTTTAGTGCTTACTGCCCAGGCACGGAGTGCGGATCACACACTGGAAGGGACCATATTAACCTGGCAGCCGAACTTTCCTAACAATTCCCGTTGCCTCCCAGCAGACACAACCGAGTAAGCCGTGACCTGAGGGCTTGTCATGCTGGATAATTAATGTGTGATGGCACTCAGCACAGAGTGATTTAGTGACTAGTGAGAAATAAGATATAATCCTGAGGCTTAAATTAAGCGCACAGATTGGGGAAGCTGGGTGGAATTATTAGTCTTTGTAGGGCATGGCAGGTTCAAAGGAATCAGATGGCAGGTTCATTCATCTAATTTATTTGACTATCAACTCTGTGACCAGGTGGCCTGGCCCAGGTATTCCTGGGTGCCCTTCCTGATCCTAAGTACTCTCAGAGTAAAATTGCAACTTGTGTTCACCGGAGACAAAACAAAACCCTCTACCCTAGAAGTTCTAGGTGGCTTTGCCAATACAATACAATACAATACGGTGGGGTTTCAGAATGAGGTTCAGGGAGTGTTTCTGCTCTCAGGGGAATCCTCAGAGGCCAGAGCTCGGGGCAAGGCTTCCTCACTTCTTGGTGGCATACAAGGAAGCAGGACAGCTGGAGACCACAGGCTCAGAGCACGTTTCAGACACCCTCTTGGATGTATCCTAGGGAATGTCACCCATCAGGCTGCCAATCTGACCAGGGATGTCAGGGGCAGTGTGAAGACTGACTTTTGTAGCATTTTCAGACCAACAGGTAACAGGTGTTTGGAGTATTTGGCTTCTTAGGAGTGTCCATTAAGAACGACTTTTACCTTCATGTCTTTAAGTATATTTATATACTTGCTTGATCATTTTTTTACTATTGTTCATTTTTAAGTAATAATCATGCTCCATCAAATGGTAATGAGGCAAAGGACCTGATCCAGCTGATGTAAAAAATATAAATTGAGGTCTTAAATCACTTTGCTAATACTGAAACTGTGAGTGCTGCCTGGTAACTGTGATTCTAATTTTTACCAAAATGTAATGACTTACTTGACATCAGACAAAATTTACTACAAGCTCAACTGTTACAGATTCACACCTCTGCTGGTAAGAGATGCTCTCTGGCCTCCTCTGTGCACCTGTGACAATCCTGCTAACACCAACAGAGCCCCAAACACTTGCTGCATTTGGTGACTTTGGCAGAAAGGAAAACACCACACTTGAACATAATAAAATACTATAGAATACATTTTACTAAATTTCATTGGAAATTTAACTATTTGAATACTTTTATATTTTCTGTATTTAACTATTTGTTTTAAAGAAGATACACAAAATGAGGTGAAAATAAACAACTCTGCAAACCAAACCTAGCAGAGACTGAATTTTGCCCCATGTGAAACAGCTAAATTCAGTGCATTTTAATTACTTTTGTCCCTATGGGTTCCGCACTTAAATTCTTCTATTTCCCCCATAGGTTGTGATGATAAATTGGCAAGCTGAGTCTCAGTCTCATACTAGCTGTGAAACCAAACGCAATGTATGACAGGCAGGAGTAGCTGAGCACGCTCAGCTTTTTTTTGTCAGCAAGGTGCGATGAGGATGTGATAAAGGACTGCCCACGGCCAGCTCCAAATGGCTGAGGGCATCTGCTCACTCTCTGTATCACGGGAATGCACGCTGCTTCAAGTGATAGGCTGCACCCATGTGGTGAGGCAGTTCCCACCTCCTATTTTCCTTTCCCAGATTTTTCAGAAATCTTTTTTTTTTTTTTTTTTG